TTGAAGAGGAGCTGAAGAAAGACCATGCAGAGATGCAAGCTGTCATCGATGCAAAGCAGAAAATTATCGATGCACAGGTAAGGAGCACAGGATCTGCAGGAGCCGAGTGTTCTGTGCTTAGAACCCGTTATTTTCCCCTATCCTCCTGTCCCAGTATTATTCTCTAGCTCCCAAGCCAGTACTGGCCCAGGGTGTTGCACACATGACTTACTGCCTCCTAGGAGAGAATTGGGGGGTTTTGTACAATAAAGACTGCACTGTCTGACGCAAGGCTTTGAAAAAGCTTGGCAGCAAATTACAGGACTGACTGCTTCTCCAAAACCTCTTCTACTTTAGGAGATCCGAAGCGGTAAAGGAACAGTGATACATTGTGTAGACATTGTTCTAAGTGTGGGCCTGGGAACTCTGGACAAGCGGTGCTTCATACCAGCATAGTTTAATTGCCATGTGCGTGCATCTCAGCTATGCAAGCTAAAACATGGCTTTGAACTTGCAAGAAAAGAGAATGCTTGCCATGGTGCATTGCCCAGTATAGCCTCTCATACGTGGCATTTCACCTCACCTGACTGTCCATGTCGGTCTGGGAGAAACACCCACTTTGCCACAAACCTGCAGTGCTTGCCTCATTCAACACAAGTTAGTCGTGGAAAGTGGGACCTAGCGGGTGATGCATGTGAATGTGTTGTGTGGGATCGTTTCAGCTTTTCTTCTGTGTCCGTGCTGATGCCAGAGAGCAAAGCTTAGACAACAGAACATGAGACTGATTTGATATCTGCCTGCCTGTTATGTTTGTGATTCTTGCATTTGGAGAGCACCTTTCCGGCTTCCGGGCTTTTTGATAGTTCCATCCGTCTAATTTTTAATAGATGATCTTTTAAGAGGATTATATGTTTCAGCAGCAACCCAAGTTATGTCAGAAAGTTGTCTCCCCTCAGGTAGGGTGAAAAAAACCAGATGCCTCAGTTGAACATTGTTGAAGATGCTACTGGTGTATTAGAACACAGGCGTAAGAAAGCACAAAAGGCGTGCCCTGGCCATTGCTTTCCCGTTGAATGGCCAGCAGTAATTGAAATGTTTGAGCTCACATAGAGGTGTAGGAAAAATACAAAATGGAGAAAAAAATATGTTCTTAAAAGGCTGGTGACGCTAGAAACATACTTTATGGCAGATTTACTTTCTGACAACCTGAGAAGTTCTAAGTTTTGTCTTAGTTATTCTTCAGAAAGACTGTTTATGAAAGCTGAATTTTTTGGATCCATGGCATCTAACCTGAGTGAATCGCTTGTGTACAATAACATGGTCCTTCTCTAACCTTGTAAAATAAGAAGTAAAAATGCACTGGAATTATACCATCCATGTTTCCTAGCTATCGTGCAAGATGGTCTAAATGGACACACCAGTGTAGTTGCCCTTTCTAGATGCAGCTCAAGAAGAAATCCTTTCTGTGAGGACTTGCTTTCAAAATCTAGAGTTAGAGGGTGCAGTGCTGGCCAGTGAACAAGAATGTAGTCAGTCATTTGCTTTATTTTTTTTCTTGGTGGGGAGGTGCAGGGGGGAAACAGTAGAGCAGAGCACCCTTCATACAGTCTGTTGCAAGTTTTAAAGCTGGAACAGAAGTTGAATGTGCTGGGCCGTTTTTCAGACTTTATCCAAACCGCAGCCTGGTTTTGAGGGATGTGATGCCTTTTTCATCCCCCCCCTCAAGAAGGAAAAGGGGAAGGTGAAAGGGGCATTGAAGAAATGCATAGGAAGAGATAGTAGAGGGCAGGACTGGAGAGACTGTGACTGAATGAGGAACTTCCCCCTTCCCTCTGTTACTGTCTGTGCCAGATGGAGCGCAGCTGAGTCTGGTCCCTCGCTATTGCCAGCTGCCAGGAGGGACTCTCGCTGACTTCTGAAAGCTTCGAGCCCTCAGTGTGGGTCAGGTGTGGTCCTTGATCGCACTTGATCAAATGGTGCATCATTTATCACCTGCAGTGAGAACTGTTGAAAAGACAGTAGCAAACCAGTAGCGTTGTTTAAAGCAAGGTCATCAGCAAACCTCAAATGCTTCAGTGTCAGTCGTGGGGAAAGCTTAGTGGTCGTTGCCCTTTCGTGGGTGTCTAAGTGGAAAAGGAAACAGAAGATTCAGAACAAACAGACACAACAGAGGAACCCCCGAGTGTTTGCTGGGTTGTGCAGTGATCCTTCTAAATCACACCTGGAAGATCTTTCTTAGTCCGTGATTCATTTGGCAAAGGGATATACAGTGGCTAGAAGAGGAAAGGTCTCTTTTGTGTGAGATCTGTGGAGTGGAGTTGGAACCTGGCTTATCTCACCTGTTTGTTTGAAGATTTAAGCGCCTGCCAGGAAATAGTGATAACCTGGGCTTCTTGTGCTTAATTACATGACCACGAGATGCTTTTCAGGATTTGCTCTCGTGTCTGGTGCTCAGGTGTAGCGTGCACTATTGAACCGTCGCACAGGGAGAGCCGTGTCCCCAGCACGGGTGCTGGCCGCCCTGGCTCTGGGCAGTGCCCTGGGCAAGCTGGGAAGCAGAGGCTGTCGCCAGGCGTCCCAGACTTGAGCAGGGGAGGTCTGGCTAAACTCTCCTCGGAGTAGCGGAGCTGCAAAGAGTATTAGCCCAGTTGCAATTGCAAGTGACGTCTCCGCTGTGTTAAATTACAGGTCATAAATGGGGATGAGATAATTCAAACAGGCAAGTAAACCCAATCAGTTCTCTAGCTGAGCAGTACCCAGCCCCGGCCCAGTGCACTGACCTCCTACCCATTCCAGCTCCTCCTCCTTCCCGTGCCTAATTCACGTGTATTAGAGAGACGTTTGCTTAGATTGCATTTTCCTTTGAGTGAGACAGTGACTCAATTCACCAAGCTCATTCTTTTAAGCCTGATTTTTTCCAGGTGTAGCTTTCCAGCTGTTCTGCAGACCGGTATAGCGAGCGCTCATCGATGCCAGAACATACCCAGCCTTCCATTTTTAACTCTCTGTAAAGCTACATGCTTTCGAAAGAAACTTTAATTTTGAGGTATATATTCCAGGTGACATTTAGTCCAAGGAGGAGGAGTTTTAACTTGCTGAGGAACACATCTCTGCTAAGGCAATTGTTTTGTTTGGTTTGTTTGTTTGAGGGTTTTTTGTGGGTTGTTTGTTATTGTTGTTTTTCCAGCATTTATTTCAGCATGGGAGGAAAGGCTAAGGCCTTTAACTCCTCCCTTGTCCGTTCTCGCTTACATTGGCTAGGCTGGGCAAAATACTAGCGCAGGCTATTGCCTGCCTTACTCTTGAATTCTCCTGCCTCCTCCTCCTCCTGCTCTGCTGTGCAGAGCTTGGTCTCTTCAGGGCTATAATACAAACAGGATTTAAATTCTGCTTTGTTTTTGCACCCTAACATTTACTCACTGGCGGAAGCCAACTGAGGAAAGCAAACATTACTTGATTACAGATGTACCGCATAGCTGATGTGCTGGGATCAAAATCTCATGGGGCTGTCATAGCGCTTATGTCTCCTGAGCAGTATGTCTGAACTATCCCTTAATGTTTGTGCCTTCTGTACATCATTTTTCCTCCCGTTTTTGTTTTTCAAAGGGCTGGACTGGGAAGAGTCCCTGCATGCAGCTTTTTTTCACCCAAGTAATAGAAATTAAAGATTTTTCTTCCTCAGTGAAAAAAAGCCAATGAGCTGGTATCATTGAGAGCATGTTTACCTGTTGCAATGTCTGTTGCCGCTTTGTGTGGCTGGTTTTTTGTTTTTTTTTTTTTTTGAGGGAAGATGAGAATTGCCATTGCTAATTGTACCACCAGCTTTTTGGCTTGACCCGCCAGTGCTGTATCCCACTGCGGGCAGTCTAGCTTTTAGTAGGTTGGCTTTTGTTGTTGGATGTTTGTTTGTTTGTTTGTTTGTTTGTTTTTAATAAATGTAGTGTACGTCCTTTAGCTTTCGGAATACTTTTGCTAAAAGTGGAGGCAAGCACTTTCTGTGCCAGAAGAGTCAAAGCGGGGTGCGCGACCCCTCGATTTGGCGGCGCCCCTCTGAGCTGGAATGGGTCTAGGAGCAGTGCTCAGTGTTTGTTCTTTGTGTTCTGTCGATGGCATCTCCCCTTCCTCCCACGCTGCCCTCTTTCCCCTTCACCTCAAATAACCCCTTAGTTTTAGCTTTTGGCTGCTGCTTTTCTATGTTGCTATTGCACCCTCACTCCTGCTGGCAACTGCAGGCTGCCATTATTTGCTCTTTTTGTTTTTATTTCAAACATACCATGGGTTTATCTCGAGCGTGCTCCATCCAATATACAGAGACGATGGCCATTAGATTTCACCTGCGCTTTTCTCTGCCAAAGGAAACCTCCCACCACTTTTTTTTTTTTTTGCTGCCTGTTTCTGTTTTTCTAACATATTAAAAAAAAATTGGCTATTGTTATTAACACCAACACCCTTCCCTTCCCTTCCATGGCAAAATATTGCATTTCCATCTGCCTCAGTTGGAGGCTGTCTGGATGAAGCTGCTGTGACTAGATCCTTTCACCAATGTAACCTGGACTTACTGTCACCTTCCCTGGCGCAAAAAGGCCAGAAGGGCCAGACTGGCGTGTGAAAAGCCTATGGGCGATGTTACTCCAAGAAAACAGAAAGAGGCAGACATCCCATCTTACCCGAGAATGTCAGTAAGGCTGCCTCTGCCTAGAAATCATCTGCAAGACACTGTCACAGCCCCGGGCCCCGGAAACTCTTGGTAAAGCAGGCTGGTGGGGCAAGGGTATTTCATTTGCGAAGGAGCTCTGACTTTGGGGTATTTGTTGCAGGAGAAGCGGATCGTGTCCCTGGACTCTGCCAACACGCGGCTGATGAGTGCCCTGACGCAAGTGAAGGAGCGCTACAGCATGCAAGTCCACAATGGCGTCTCGCCCCCCAATCCTACCAAGCTTTCCATCACGGAGAATGGTGAATTCAAGAACAGCAGCTGCTAATTA